GCTGGGCTGGGCTGGGCTGGGTTGGGCTGTGCTGGGCTGGGCTGTGCTGGGCTATGCTCTGGGTTGGGCTATGCTATGGGCTGGGCTGTGCTGGGCTGGGCTGGGCTATGCTCTGGGCTGGGTTAGGGCTCTTTGTCTGGGACCCAGGACCTCCAAGTCCTTTGCCTCCTGCCGCTCCGTGGGGAACAGCACCGACCCAAATGGCTGTCAGCCCTGGCAGAGGTGTGAAGTCAGTGGCGAAGCCTCCGTCTAGCCCAGCTGAAGCCAAAGCTGCAGTCAGCTGCTGTGGGCCAAGACCTAATCTGAGGGTTCTAGACATTGGTCCCCCTGTAAGACCCACCCCCCTGCCGTGACCAAGGAAACACAAGAGCTCACTCTCGTGGGCACCCACACACAGAGACTTGTACAAGGCACCCCGGGGGCGGAAGGGTGCAATTTGGGGGTGCTGTTGGGAAAGGAGCGGCACTCAGCAGAGAAGAAGTAGGGTAGGGTCCTGGCATGTCTGAAGGGAGCCGCCCGTGGTGGGCACCGGAGTCTGGGAGGCAGGGCTGGGGTAGCCGTCCAATGAAGGCTGCTCGTGCCCTGGAGAGCCGGCAGCAGGGAGCCCCTGGAGGCTCCTCAGTGGGAAGCGACCACACTGGTGGCGTGTCAGTGAGGACCCCCCGCCGCAGTGAGCAGGAATGAGGGCAGCAGGACAGCCAAGGCTGGAGCAGAGTTGAGGGGAGGCATCCAAGTGCCACTGAGGGAGAGTGACCCCACAAAGCTGTGCCCCACGTGTGCCGTGGGGTGCCCCGGGGTGCCCACCCTGAGCCCAGCACGGAGCCCCACGGAAACCCAGGCATCTGGAAGGTAACAAGGGCCCTCCACATGTCCATGCGGCCCTTGACTGCTGAGCACCTACCGTGTGAGACAAAGCACACTCACGAAAGTAAGAGGTGGCCATAAGGGCTATGGAGGGACACGAGAAGGAAGACTGGGAGGTTGGGGCCATGGAGGGGGTGCGAAGCTTGCAATTTTAGAGGGGAGCTCAGGAAAGACCTCCTTGTGAGGTGCTGCGGGAGCAGAGCGTGAGGCGTGAGGGAGCGGCCCGTGGACGGCTGCAAACGGCAGAGGGCGCGGCCAACACCAAGGCCCCACGGCGACGGCGATGGCGACGGCGTGCCTGCTGCTTGGGGAACAGCAAGGAGGCCAGCGAATGACAGGGGGAGATGGGGCTGGGGTGTGGGGAGCTCGGGAGGCTCTGTTGGGGCTCTGGTGTTGACTCTGAGTGAAGCGGGGACTTTCAGAGGCCTGCAGCAGCTGTGAGAATGTGCCCCACGGAGCTCCAGCTCCAGGGACCAGGACTGAGCAGGGGTCCCAGCTGTTGGGCTCTGGAACCCATCCTCATGGGTGCGTGGAGGCCAGAGGCCCTGTGCACAGCGAGGATGCCAGCACAGCCTCCCACCCGGGAGACAGAGACTCCTCTGCCATGGGCACTCCTGGGCCTTGCTGAGCCTTCCCTAGACTGCGTGGCATCGAGGCTTCCTCGCTGCCGTCCTTCCCACTTCCCTCACTCAGGACCAGCTCTGCTTTGGTCTGACGGCTCACCCAGCCTTCCCCATTTTCCCTCCTAAGTGCTTTCCCTAAAAAGACAATTTCAGGCTCACCCCAGCTTGGTGGCTGCTTCTCGGAGGACCAGGACTCAGCAAGGGCTCTGAGTGAATGGAATCTGTGCTTGAGCAAAGTCACTCTGGCTGCTGCCCCAGGGCAAGAATAATAATAAGCCGGCTGGGAGACGCCTGGGTGGCTCAGTCGGTTAAGCATCCAACTCTTGGTTTTGGCTCACAACCCTGATCTCAGGGTTGTGAAATTGAACCCCTTATTGGGCTCCATGTTCAGCACAGAGTCTGCTGAAGTTGCCTCTCTCTCTCCCTCTGCCCCTCCCTGCACTCTCTCTCTCAAATAAATAAATAAATCTTAAAAAAAAAAAATAGGCCAGCTGATCAGAAATCAGTTATGGGACACCAGGCAGGAAATGGTGGTGGCTCCCACCAGCATTAGCACTGGAGGGGTGTGAAGGGGTGGGGAAGGATATGCTTTGAAACAAGATGTGCTGACAGGGATAAAGGGAAGGAAATGACAACTTCACGTGCTCAGCCTGAGCAACTAGAAGGATGGAGCAGTCAGTCTCTGCAATGAGGACTATGAGTAGAGGCCCCTGGGTGGGTAAAGAATTGGAGCCTGGTCTGAGAGAGAAGGCAGTGACTCGAATGGAATGACTCTGGTGTTCAGAGGATGTGTCTGGCTAGAGACAAAAATGTGGGGGTTGTCAGAATGTAGATGTTCTCAAGCATTGAGGTAGAATGAGATTCTCCAGGGAGGGAATGAAGATCAAAAAGGAAGGGTCCCAGGACTGGACTCCGATGTTCCTGAGGAAGAACCAGTGGAAGGAAGCTAAGGAGGCCTAGTGGTGAATCGGGGGCGGGGGCGTCAGGAGGGTGTGGAATGTTCCGGGAGCAAGTAAAGAAAGTGTGTCAAGGAGGAGAGAGAGCTTGATAGCGTCAGATGCTGCTGATTCATCAAAGAAGACGAGGGCCAGGAACTGACCGTTGGATTTAACAATGTGGAGGTCGATGGTGACCTTGAGAAAGAAGATTTTGATGAATACATGGGCAGAAAGCCTGACTGAGTGGGTCAGAAAGGAGAGAGAAATACTGAAGACTGTTGTGACATTTCTGTTATGAGTCGTGGAGAAAGGGCAGGTCGCCAGAGAGGGATGTGGACTCAAGAAATACAGGACGGAAGAAATTGTAGCATGTTTGCAAGTTGTAAATGCAATATCCTATTGTTAAGCCCTATTTTACAGATTATGGAACAAAGACTCAGGAAGTTTAAGTAACAGAACCTATGAGCAAAAGAACTAGGCTTTGAACCCAAGTCTGTCTGACCCACTCCAAATCCATGCCCTTTAATAGATCACTTTTAAAAAACAAACTGGATTGGCACAGCTTTTTTTTCATGTCACAATATGTCATGAGCATTTTCCCACATGAATAAAGAATAAAATTTGATATAATTAAAAGGAGAAATAAACAAATCTACAATCATTTGGACAGATTTAACTCACTTCTCTTAATATCTGATGGACAAAAAAAAAAATCATAATAAGGTAATGAAATATTTTAAACAACATGATGAACAAACTTGACCTAATTGGTGGGTGCCTGGGTGGCTCAGCAGGTTAAGTGTCTGCCTTTGGCTCAGGTCATGATCTCAGGGTCCTGGGATCAAGCCCTGCATCAGCTCCCTGCTCAGCATAGTCTGCTTCTCCCTCTCCCTCTGACCTCTCTCCCCTGCTTGTACTCTCTCTCTCTCAAATAAATAAAGTCTTAAAGAAAACAAAACTTGACCTAATTGACATACATAGAACACTTAGTCAGCCATGCACAATGCAGATTCTTTGCAAGTGCACACAGAATACAAGCTGGGCCACAAAGCAAGTTTCAAGACTTCAAAGGATTAAAATCATACTGAAATATTTTCTGATCACAGTGGAATTAGCAAGAAATAAGAAAGAACAACGACTAAAAAGTAATTAAACATTTGAAAATGAAGCAAAATACTTTTAAACAACCTATGGGGCAAGGAGGAATTCTCAACAGAAAGTTTAAACTGAAAGATAGTGAAAAGACGATATATCAAAACTTGTGGGATGCAGCTAAAGCTGTACTTAAATGGAAGTTCACAGCCTTTAATGCATAGATTCGAAAAGAAGACAGATTGAAAATCAATGATCTAAGTATCCATCCAAAGAAAGTAGAGGAGGAATGTACAAAAGTCCTTTTCCGGAGGCTGGGAACAAGACAAGGATGCCCACTGTCTCCCTTCCTACTCACCATCCCACTGGAGGTCTGAGGCAGTGAGAGAAAGGAAGAAAAAAGAAATAAAAGTATGAGGACAGGAAAAGAAGAAATGAGACTTCCATTATTCATGCGTGTGACATGAATAGACTGAATTCATAGAAAATCCAAAGGGATTTGCAGAGACCTATTAGGATTAATGAATGAATTCAACAAAGTCACTGGATATAAAGTCAATATACGAAAACCAATCATATGTCTACATACCAGCAATAGACAATCAGAAAATAAAAGTGAACTGGGGACATCACCCGTAGCCTCAGTCCCTAATACGAGGATCAGTGAGATAACAGGTGTAGACTCCTACTGCAGTGCCTACATCGTAGGCACTCGACAGAGGCTCCTGACGTCATTATCCCTGTCGTTAATGCCATTCTTATCTGCCTCCCTTCACGCCTCTTTTCTGTTCTGAAATCTCTTAAAGCCACCCTGCAACTCTGCAGGGCAGTTGAGCCTCTTCCCCACACTCCAGAGAAGTCTGCCTGAGCCTCAGAGAAGTCTAAACACAGGCGGGGAAGACGTCCCATGCAGGAAGGAGTGAGTCTCTTCCATTAAAAGTGCTCTTGTAGAAGGATATTTATTCGTGTAGAAAGATGTTCGTGAGATACTGTAACATGAACAAAAATAGCTGTACTACTCCAAAAAAAAAAAAAAAAAGTGCGCGTGAGTGCGTGTAGGGGTCTTTTTGTGTGTATTTACAGAAAAAAGACTGGAAGGTATAGAAGTCAATGTTACTAGTATTTATCCTGGAAGATAGGCTTAGGATGATGGTTATTTTCTGTATATATGCATACATATATGTATATGTGTATATATAGTATATAGATCTACAGATCTATAGATACATCTATCTATATCATATATATTATATATATGTGTGTGTGTAGGTGTATAGAGAGAGAGAGAGGGAGAGGGAGAGATCTCACGTGTGTGCATGTGTGTGTGTGTGGAGAGAGAGAACTGTTTTTATTCAACAGCTGACACCAGAATTCCTCACAGGGAAAATACCATGAGTTTCTGGGAGAGAAGAGAGAATATGGGGAAATCTGAGGCCGCGTGGGAAGCAGTGGCTGGTGGAAATCCCCAGGGCGGAGGGGAAGGCTGTGGCGACATCCCCTTTGCCTCATCCCCATCGGTCCCTATCCTCAGTAAACAGGGTCATATTCCGAATGCCCTCGGTGTGGACTCGAGTTTCGTGTGTGTCTGGGTGGTGGGGACAGGAACGGTGACAGCACGGACAGGCAGAACCCTCGTGCAGGGGCAGCCCTCGAACGCGCCCCCGGGGGACCCCACGGGTCCCTGGCAAGGCTTCGCACCTGCCAGGCGTGGAGCCAAGATCCTAACCTGGTGGCTCTAGAGCTCGAAGAGCTAAGACCCCAGCTGACACCGGGTGGCATTTATTCTTCACTTTCTCTACAATGAGCATATGCTCCTTGCGGAACTAAAACACACAGAACTGAAAAAAGAATGTTCATCACCCTCGAAGCCGCTGGGCAGAGGGGCCGCATGCTGGCTGGTGGGCGGGCTCACACCCAGCACACCAGGCTGAGCCTCCCCCAGGTAAACGCGGAGACAGGTGCAGCGGCAGGAAATGCTTATGACACGACATCCCGGGCCGGGCCGTGTCTCTGCTTGAGTTTAAGGATAGAAAACAAGGTCTGCGTGTGGGGGGAGGGGGTGTGAAGAATTGAGAAACAGTGAGTTCGTTAGGGCTTCTGATGGTGCCTGACCTTTTCCTCTTTCTGTGATTCTTGTTGTTGATTCTTGTTCTGTGATTCTTGTGTAATCAAAACAGGAAGGGGTTGGTGAGCTGGTCAACATCATTCGGTTGGATGAAGGAACTTTCTTCATCCCTCGCTGCCCCTTGTTCCAGAAGTGGAGGGGTGAGCCGGGGACAGGGGGGCCCCGGGGGCACCTCACAACTACATGCCGGCCAGGGGCCAGGGGCCACACACATGTTCGTCTTCACAGAAATTCCACCACGTGGAAATTCTTGTCCCCAGTTTACAGACAAGGAACACGGCTGGTACCTGACCCAGCCAGGGAACCGGGCCCTGCGCCAGACCTGAGACAGGCAGAGGGAGTGCAGGCCCCGAGACTCACCATGTAGACGGATTCGTCCGGAGGCTGCTGCTGGCTGTGGGCGCTCAGGTCCGAGCCCTTCTGCGCGGGGTGCTTCTGAGGAGCCTGCATCCTCTTCTGTGAGGAAAGGAGTCTGTCAGGGCTGGGGATGGGCGGCTCCCACCCCACAGACCCCACCAGGGCAGAGAATGGCAGATTGCCAAGAGGCCCCTCAGCACCTCCTCCCCACCCTCCCCAAGGAAATGTGGCAAATGCCTCCGAGACCCACATCACGCCACTCATCTGCCCGCACAGACCGGAAATGGTAGAGACCGCCACGAGGCCTCGCCCACGGACGCAATGCCTGGCTCAGGGACACAGTGCCAGGTGCCAGGGTGCCAGGGTCCCCGGCTACGGAGCTGACAGCTGGGGGTGGTCCTGAGCAAGTGCCAGCCAGGCCAGATGTCTGGTCCCCCTCTGCCCCTGCCCCTCTCTGGGCCTCAATTTCTTCAGCAAGGAACCCTCCTCCACGAGATTGTAGCAAGGATTCAGGGAGGTGACGAGGGGATAAGTGCGTGGCCCTCAGGTGGCACAAGGTGGCCCTTGGCTGACTAACACACCCTCGTCGGCCACCTCTGGTTAGCCGGGTGGTGTGAAGAGGTGGACGCCGGCCCTGCCTTCCTGGGACTCAGGACCTAGCGGGGACACGGATGGCGAACTTTCAGTTTGACTAAAGCATGGTTCATGCACTGACTGACAGGACAGAGCCCCTGGCACACTCTGGGGGACAAATGCCTCACCTGGCAGAAAGAGGTGTTTATTTTTTCCAAGATTTTATTTATTTATTTGAGAGAGAGAGAGAGGGAACATGAACAGTGGGGAGAGGGAGGAGAAGACCCCCGCTGAGCAGGGAGCCGGATGCGGGGCTCGATCCCAGGACCCTGAGATCATGACCTGAGCCGAAGGCAGACACTTAATGACTGAACCACCCAGGTGCCCCAGAAAGGAGTGTTTAAAACCTAAAGGCTGAGGAACACCTTTGGCAAGAGAGGGAGGGGAGGCAGAGGGACCAGAGTGCCAAGACCTAAAGGTCTCGAGGAACTTAAAGACAGTCGACGTGGCCAGAGAGAGGGGGAAGCTTCCCGGGTCTGGGGCCGAGCTAACAGCGTGGCCGGTGGAAAGCATTTGAGCGGCTCGCGCGGGAGCGGCCAGGAGGGGCCCGCGTCACAAAGCTCCCGCTGGCCGCGGCGAGGCTCTGCTGGTGGCCGTGGAGGCGGGGGCGCTGGGCCCGTGGGGAGGCACCGGGCTCCGGGAGACGGGCAGCTCCTTCCGAGGCCGAGGGAGGCCTCCCGGTCCCCCCACCTCAGGCAGGCACCACACTACCAACCCTGCGGCAACGACAGCCTCGTCTCGGGGCAGGAGCTAATTCAAAATCCTGGCTGCCTGCCCGTCCCCAGCCTGTGTACTCGGGATTAGCTCGCAGGCAGAAGCCAGAACCACCCCAGTCGCAGCCTGATCGGGGCTCGGGAGAGGGCCCTCCCCGGATGCCAGCCGGGGCTCGCTCCGAACCAGCACTACCTGCCCTATCTCACGTGCTTCTCGACAAGCCCGCGAGGCGAGTCTTCGTGTGGTCTCTGTTCCACACTTGGGGACCAGGAGGCTCAGAAAGCGCAGGAGACTGGCCTGAGGCCACAGAACCAGCCGTGGCAGAGGTAGGATTTGAACCCAGGTCTGTGTGATTCACCAAGATGCTGACCTGACCGTATCTGGAGTTTTCGCCCCTCTGTTTTGTACGAACGTGTGGGTCTCATGGACAGTTAGATAAGTGCTGGCCTCCGTATGGCACTTCACAGTTTACAAAAACCCCTGAGACTCGCTCTTAGCGTCATTTAATTCTCTTTATAGCCTGAGGAAGTAGACTTCACAGAGGGGTGAACTGAGGCCCGTCCAACTAGTCGGATGACTGCCTTTGGGTGGAACCCAGGTGTCCTGTTCCAAATCTAGTGTCCCTCCCCCTCACCACCTGCTTCCTGAGGCGTCTGTCACAGTCAGAGGCCACGGCTCACCTCAAGACAGCTGGGGTGCTGGGGCCTCTCCCTTTGCTGAGCCTGTCGGCCTGGACACTGTCAGGGCTGGTGGGTGTGAGCTCGTGGGCAGGGGCTCTTCTGGACCCTGTGGTGAGCAAGCCAGGCCCAGCCTCGTGGTGCTTCTTCTGACACTGGTGGGACTGCAGGGAGGTAAGTGCCACTGTGGGGTTGTGGGAAGGAGCCCCACGACTGCCAGGGGGCTGGGGCAGACTTCTGAGGGCCCGCCCTGTCTCCCGAAGATAGGAGAAGAGTCTGAGAAAGTGTCGCAGGCCACGGGGACAAGGCACGGGATCGCGTGGGGGCAGGAATATCACACGTCAGGGACATGCTAAAGGATGGACTGTCAGATAGAAAGAGGCCGATGGGAGTAAAAGGTGAGAGCAGATGAGCCGGGAGGCTGGCGAGCGCACTGCCACAGAAGGCAGGGAGGTGAGGCCTGGGCTGTGGCCCACAGGGGCTGCCCCCCTTGAAAAATCAGACGGGTGCATTTTGTTGCAGGGGTGAGGATGCTCCACCCCTTGGAGCCAGCCTTGCCCTCCCTGGGTGCCTTGTTCCCTGCCATCAACATTTGCCCTTCCAATTGTGATTTTCAAATGAATAAACCAATCAGTGTGGCCACCAGCAGCTCAGGAAAACTGTAGAGCCTCAATTTCCCCCTCTGTACAATGGGACCAATACTATCACCTTGCCCACCTCACAACCTGGCCACCTGGGACTCATCTTCCAAGTCTCAGCGCTCACTTAACTAAGCCATGCCTCCCGCAACCATTTAGCATGCGTCAGGCTCCCCCCGGCAAGGGGGGAGACTAAGCCCCTGCCCTCTGGGGCTTAAGTTATGGTGGGGGAAACAGTGACAAACACATAAGCACAGATGCGGGGAGCAGGGCTGGAGGGGACACGAGTGGGAGCAGGGAGACCTGTATTTGGGTGAGGAGTGAGGGAAGCCCTGGGCTGGGGGATGAGGCAGGGTAGAAGGGGCTGGATCCTAGACAGGTTGTGTGCAGGGCTTGCTGCGGGGGAAGACGGAGGAGCCAAGCACAGCTCTAAGGCTTTTGGCCTGAGCATCTGGGGACATGGCACCATCTGCCTAGGCAGGGCAGACTTGGATGCTATGGAGTGGTGCCAGGGACAGTGAGTGCCAATGCCCGTGGGCCTCACATGGTGGACGTGGTCTGGGGCTCAGGGAGGGGCCCGGGCAGCGTCAGGGGTGAGGACCATCACCCCAGGAGCAGAGCAGTCACCGGGGAGTGTACAGAGTGGGGAGTGCTCTGAGGAAGGGGCCTGAGATTGCGATGAGCAGAGGCCGCGAAGATGCAGGTGATCAGCACAGGGCTGCCCAGGGGTCCAGGAAACAAGGGAAGAAGTGTGCAGGGGAGGAAGGTGACCTTAGGGGATGAGGATGGACCAGCCATCAAAGTCAGAGGCTGCCTGCTCTGGGAAGCCAACTTTGATCCATCCCCAAGCTGGGGGGGGCGGGTGGGGAGCCCTCTGGCCTGCTCTCATGGCAGGAATCGTCTGCCTTTTCTGGGCCAGTAGCTCCCGGCTTCCATTCATTTATCCGCAGCTGCCTGGGCTCCTAGGGTCCTCCGTGCCTCCTCCTCCCTGGTCTTCTCGTCTTGGCCCCCATGGCCTGGTCACTGGCTGGGGGCCCCCCTGCGTGCTCTGTTCCTGCACTCAGTTCACACCAAGCTGGCCTGCGAGGGAAGGGCCACAGGGGCCCGCCCAACTCTGGAGCGGCATCCACAGGGTCCGCATCCCAAATTTGGATCCAGTTCCAGGGAGCTCTGGGGACTTCTCTGGCCTCTGGCCTTCTGAGTTCTCTCTCCTTCAAGGCCAGGCTCCTGCCCCAGCCCTCCCTCCCCCACGTGCAGGGAGGGAAGACAGGAAGCGTCTATGCACTGCACTCCCACTGTGGGTCAGGCATCCAGCTGGTGCCTCCCAGATGCTGTCTCTTCCCCCCGCTTTCCAGGTGAGGGGTGAAATCCATCCTTAGCCCCATTTCTAGAGGAGGAGAGCAAGGCTCAGAGAGGGCTGTAGCTTGATGAGAGGGCAGGGGCTGCATCTGTCTTGCTTTCCACTGTGTCTGGAACTTAGCCCGGCGCCTGGCATGCACGAGAGACTCAGGAGCTATTCCTGGAAGGAGAGAGGCTAGGAGCCGTGGAAGCCGTGCAGCAGGGGGAGGGGCGGGGCTCGGAAGTCAGGCCGGGCTGAGTGTTATCCCCTCCTCTCCTCCTCCCCAGACTTTACTGAGCACCTACTCTGCGCCGGGTGCCTCCCTGACCTTGTGGGACCCCGAGATCCAGCAATCCTGTTTTTGCAGAGCAGAATGAGCCAAATTAGGAACTGGTCACTCCAGGGTCACACCCCACATCTGCGGCGTCCCAAGGCGGATCGCAGGACAGAAGAGGAACTAGAGGGGTGGCTGAGGCCGTCACCAGGCTCCGGCTCACAGATGGCAGGAAAGGCAGCCTCCAGAGTTTTATGGCAAATCAAGTGGCCATGTTCACCTTCTTTTATCACCTTGGAGCCTTTTCTGGAAGAGTGATTATGTCTGCAGCCTGAGGCAAGGTGGGAAACTGAGGACCGGGTCCAAGTCCCAGGCCTGCCGTGTACTAGTCATGTGGCTTAGGCAAGTCCTTCCTCCCGCTGACCTTGGGCTGCCTCTCCCATTCTTCCAACCCACAAGGGGTCTGCCAGACACTCACCTCAGTGGGTCCTGAGCTGGAGGCGCCCAGGCTGAGTCGCTCCCTTGTAAGCAGGGGGCTCTAGCAGACTGTGTCACCTCCTCAGCAAATCTCACCAGCTCCACCTTCAGCCTCTAACCTGCCTTGCTCACCACTTCCCCAGAAGTGCTGTGCCTCGGTCACCTCTGCCTGGACTAATGCAGTAGCTCCTCACAGAGTCTCCCCCTGCTTCTCACAGGTGCCGGAGGGTCCATCGGGATCAATCTGATCCTGTCCCATGTCTCCCCACGCCCTGCAGGGCCTCCCGGCTCACTTAGAGTAAATCCAGTCAATGCTCCCTGAGCTCAGGCCACACCACCCACCTGGGGTCTCCCTGCAGTTCCTGCCTCAGAGCACCCACACCTGCTGTTCCCCTGCTGGACACACCCTTCCTAACGTCTGCCCGTCCCCCTTCCTTCCAGGTGCGGTGTGGGGAGGCCCTCCCTGACTCTATTAAAACCTGCAAGCTCCCTCATTCCCACACTCAGTACTCTCTTCGCTTTGCTGTATTTTCCCCCAACACTTATCACATCCGTTATGCTACTACTTATTTATATGTTTGTTTATGGTCTGTCTCCCCTCAGCTGGAATACAAATTTGACGAAGGCAGGGATTTCTTGGGGATCCATTTTAGTCATTGCTATAGCCCTGGGGCCTTAACAGGGCCTGGAATTCAGTAGGTGCTCAATATGGGTTGAATGAGTCAACACATGAACTCCCATCTCAGGGGGCCCTTCCCTGGGAGTGGATAGGGACCGGCCCTTTGGGTGCAGGGGCTGAGCCTCTCTTGACCCAAGGAACCCCCATGGTGGTGCAGAGCCCTCTTCCCACACTCAGGGCCTTTGCTGACTGAGCTGCTCCCCAGGCTCGGCCCCTGTGGCTGCCAAGGAGCAGAGGAGCTCTTGGTCCCTAGATGGTGGGCAGCACTGGCCCGGGCTGTTCCGATTGAGGCTTTCAAGGAGCCAGGACAGGGGTCCAAATTGCAGCCTGGGGCCCTGACAGCCATCTTTGCCCCCCCGAACTGGCAGAACCTGACACCCACTGGTAATGCATTCTTCTGCCCAACAAACATCTACTGAGCACCCCCCATGCCTGGGCATGCACAGAGCACGGAAACAAGCTCACCTCGGCCTCTGTCTTCAGGGCACTTACTGCCTGGCAGGGGGGGCAGGCATCGAACCACCACCCACAGGGCTGGTGACAACGAGAGTGACAAGAGCCCAGTGGGGAAACAACCCTCCCTGTGTTGGTCCCATTGCAGCCCGAGCAGGAGTCGGCCTGGTGCAGAGCTGGACCAAACTGCCCCATCCACCTGCACTCCAGCCCTGACTCTGCCGTGTGACCCTGGGCAAGTCACCACCTCTCTGGGCCTCGCTTTCCAGAGTTGTAAAATGGAAAGAAACGTCCCTCGCAGGGTTACAGTGGGACACAGAGGAGAGCATGGGGCAGGGTGCCTGGTAGACAGTGGCTCTTAGGAAACACTTCGTCCTCCCATCTGGGGTGCTGGGGATCCAGAAAACCAGGATGGTGCCTCCTAAAGATTTATTTATTTATTTATTTATTTGAGAGAGAGAGAATGAGAGACAGAGAGCATGAGAGGGAGGAGGGTCAGAGGGAGAAGCAGACTCCCTGCCGAGCAGGGAGCCCGATGCGGGACTCGATCCCGGGACTCCAGGACCATGACCTGAGCCGAAGGCAGTCGCTTAACCAACTGAGCCACCCAGGCACCCGGCTGGTGCCTCCTAATCCAAAGAGCTAGAAATGGGGCTTGAGTCTTGCACCGAAATACTCAGGAGGACCCGTGGCCTGGAAAGGGCTGACGGGCCCTGGTTTCGTGCAAGATCCACAGGACCCGGTGGTGGCAAGCTAGCCTATAGGGGTGGGTGAGGGAGGGGTCCCGGTGCAGGGAGGCCACGAGGAAGACCCCCTCACCGAGGCCGACTGGGACGCCGTGCAGGGCAGGCAGACGGCCCCTCCACTCCTTGGGAGGCACCCGAAGCCACAGTGAATGGGCTGGAGGGGCAGTGCTGCTGGGCGTGCGCATCCCCTACCTTCCTCCAGAGCAGCAGGGCTGTGACCAAGATGCTCAGCACAGTCAGGACGCCAGTGAAGCAAAAGAGCAGGAGCTGCTGGGAGCCCTGCGGGGGCCGTCGATACCCCATGTCTAGGAGGAGGGCAGGGAAGCAGAAGGGTTAGTCACCTGATTAAGGCTGGGGCGCACCCCACCCCGCCAACCCCCAGGCCCCCAATCCCTACGTTCTCCTTTACCCAGGACTCCACTTACAACACCCCCCCGAAGGAGTCCCCTAAACCCCCACCCCTGCCAAGGTGCTCATTCCCACACTGGCTTTGGCTAAGCCCCTTTCTAGGTTGGCAGCCTTGATTCTTGTTAAGGGCAAGGAACACATCTTTTGCTTTTTAAGTGTCCCTGCCTCGGAATGAACTGGCCCCACTCAGAGCTGCCTGTGGGACCCCGGGCGAGTCGCGTCATCTCTCAGGCCTTCTGTTTTCCGCATGTGGAAAGGTGGTCACGTGGGCAGGTGTGATGCGGGTGGGGGGATGGGTTTGGCCTGGGCCTAGCAGGAGGCTGGCCTGCACCAGGGGAAAGTGAAGGGCCCAGCCCGGCCCCCTTCCCTTGAGCCATCCATCCTTTTATCCCTCCCTCCCTCCCTCCTTCCCTCCTTCCCTCCGTCCATCCATCTGGCTGGCAAAAAACTGCCAAGTGCCAACCACGTGCCAGGCACATCCGTGTCTGTTATTTATCAAACATTTCCTATTACCAGACACCAGCCCTTGCACGCAGGATCTCATTCATCCCCATAAAAGCCCTTGACGGGCAGGGTATTGCCATGAAGCCCGGGCCCCTAGCCACATCCGGGCCAGCCCAGCTCCACAGCATCCCCAAATCCCAGCCCCTACTGGTGGGAAACACAGAGGCAGGTCAGAGCCTCATGGCTTTGCCGATGATAACTTTTTACAGTCATCACTCCTTTGGGAATGTGATGAAACTAGGAACCTTTCCCAGAAACACATACGTGAGCCAAGTGCTGCCCCTGACACACATGTGCGTGAGCCCAACTGTGCATGCACCCCCCCAACCCACACGCATACGCACACACAAGGTGCCAGAGACTTCTCTCAGGCACCTGCCAGACGTGGCCAGAGACGTATCTGCATCCCAGGCTTCTGCCCTTCCCAAATCAAGGTAGATGTCAGCACACCTGTGCAGCCAGGGGCTCCCCGAGGACACTTGTGTTTTGCCAAATCTGATCGATGAGGCAGATATGCCCCGCTTTATTTATTCATTTTTAAAGATTTTATTTATTTATTTATTTGACAGAGAGAGAGAGCGAGAGAGGGAACACAAGCAGGGGGAGCTGGAGAGGGAGAAGCAGGCTTCCCGCAGAGCAGGGAGCCCGATGTGGGGCTCGATCCCAGGACCCTGGGATCATGACCTGAGCCGAAGGCAGACGCTTAACGACTGAGCCACCCAGGTACCACCCAGGTGCTCCTAATCCCCTCTTATATCCTGTGCCCCAAACTCTGCTGTGTGAAACCTCTGGGTCCTGCAGGAAGCCTCACCTCTGACCAGGATGAAGACGCCTTTGCTGATTTTCTGGAAGTCCGGCCAGACCACGGAGCAATAGTAGGTACCAGTGGCTGATGCATTGGGCAGCCGGGGGGTGACCAAGCATCTCAGAGTGTGCGTCTGGTTCTCGTTGCCCAGGTCGGGTGGGCACTTAATCTGCTCACTGGGGCTCTGCTGGTTCTGGAGGTCCACAAAAAAGTACAAGGCTGTGAAGTTCTTGAGTCTGGGCCTGTCTGGGTAGGTGATTTGGCAGTCGAAGGAAATGGCCTTGTTGGCCAGAGAGACCAAAATGGGGGCACCAGTGTGGGTCACGAACTGCCCTCCTGCAGGGGAAGAAAAAGGAACGAGTGGGAGCTTACCCTCCGGGTCTCTTCAGTCTCTTCTACCTTCTCCCGAGGACCTCGGCTCACACTCACACCTTTCATGCAGTCACTGTGTGCGGGCACTGTGCCAAGTGCTTTACACAGAGAACTCTCCATCTCCCAACACACCCAAGGCAAAGTGTGTAAGAGCTCCACTTCACAGAGAGAAGAGCCCGAGGGTCGGGCAGGTCAAGCTGCTAGCTTTCACTCTCTCAGCAGGGATAGAGTAGAGCTACAACCCTGCCCAAGGCGGGCAGACTCCAGACCCCACAGTCCTAACCACTCTCCTGCTCAAAGGCCAAGAAGCCACATTGGATAAAAGCCCCAGTTTGGGAAGACCCAAAGCTGCTGAAGGATGAGAAGTAAAGAGGAAGGAGGCAGGAGACAAGATAAAGAAACGCTTCCTGGCAGGAAGAAGAACTTCTCGGCAGTGGACACACAGAGAGGAGCCATGGCTCCCCCCAGCCTGAAGGAGGAGGCATGCCAGGCATCAGGAGAGACAAGCCTTGCCCTGAATCGGAGCTCGGAGAAGAATTTGTCAAGTTTTTGTAGACTGTAACGAGCAATGCCCCAAGAGCAGCTTTCCAACAGCACAGAGGTAGCCCTCTGTTGGGGCCACGACCAGGACGTTCGATGACCGTTACAAAGGCAGGTACCTGTGGGAGCCTCCTCCCTCCTGGACACCGGGACACCCCTCCTCATCACAGGCTCCTAGGAAAACAGTAGCACCTGCCCGGCTGGGCCTCCCACCCTCCGGCAGACTCCCGGAGGCACACAAGCCCCCTCAGCTTCAATATGCCTCGTCCCCCAGCACCTTCCTTCTCCAGCAGCCGAACTGTTCTAAATTGAGGTCGGCAGCAAGCAGCCAAGAACATGCCGGCCAGGCTGTTAATCAGGAGAAGATCACGCATTTGAGTTACTCCGAGGGAGCTGCCAGATTTATTTCGTTGGGGAAATGGAGGGCCCCCTGCCCGGGGCCTGGTGTGAAGCCAGGCTGGACTCGTCTCTGGGCTCTTCCGCTGAGCCCTGCACTGGGTCCCCAGGGGAGGTGAGGCCAGGGCCTCAGGAAGACTTGGGGACAGGACAGAGGTGGCCCTCTAAACCAGTCAGTCCCCTGAAGCTCCGGCCGCACTGGTATTTTGAGCTTCCTGTTGAGTAACTAAAGAGATCGCCCCTCCTCCAAAGAAGGAAAAGCAGTGTCTTTTCCAGGCAATGGGCTGGATGTCCCAGCGGACCGGCTTCGTTGTCCTGCATGAATATGACGATGCTCACACCTGGAGGAGCCCCTGGGCTGGGACCCAGGGCTCTCCTCTGCTGAGTGGGGCGGGAAGGATTTCACAGGTCCTTGATGTCTCTGGGCGCGACTGCAGGGTGGTCGTTGTGGCTTAACTACAACACTATGTTCATACTGTCCTAAAAACAAGGAGCACTGATTCAGGGCTGAAGCTTGCCTGGGACACGGCGGCCAGGGCAGGGGTGCGGCGGGTGGAGGAAGGGGTCATTGCGTGATCCCGGGTAAGGACAAGGGGCCAAGGGCTGAGATGGACTTGATTTGCCCTCCCCGGCAAGGCCACACTGCAGTCCTTCCCCCCTCCCAAAGGGCCACTTCCTGTGCGCTGCATCCACCCCTGCAGGCCCCCCTGCCTGGGACTCCCACCTAGTCCTCCAGACTCAGCTCAGGACCCACTCTGACTTCGAGCCACATTCTCCTGTTTGGCACTCCAGGCGGCCAGTGCTCCCTGCTGGGGGTTGGGAGGTGGGAACCTGACCAAAACCACCAGGAAAGTGACCACACCGGGGCTGGCACTGAGGGCTCTCCTCCCCCCGCCCGGGGCCTCCTGCTTCTCTTCTTGGTGTGTCTAAGAGGCCTGGGGAGGCTGGGCGCACTGGCCATACCATAAGGCTGTTTGTCCTTCCTGTTTGTCCTGGCAGGAAGCCATCCATCCACAAAAAATTGTCTGCATTTGAGGTATCCTTCTAGAAAATGATGGAATGCGTTAGTGTGATTAAGCCAATCTTTACAATTTGGGGGAAATCTTTAAAAATAGAGGACTGTCATTCCGTATGCTTCCAGGATTCGTTATTTTAAGGTCAGAGGGTTAGGATCATGACCATGCATGGCCCCGGCTTGGGTCTGCCCTAGAGGAGAGCCTCAGACCTCGGGAGAAACCACAGTCTCCGTCCGAGTGAGGAGGGAGGCAGTCTCTGTCGATGGGGGAAGGACAGCCAGTCTGGGGACAGCAGGTGAAAAGCAAGGAGAAGGAGGCCTGCCATTGCCGAGAAGGAGACCGGCTCTGGCCCGATGGTGCATCCTATGGCCTCCACCGCCCCTTCTTTTTTGGGGGTGTTAGCACCCCAGAGCCTGGACCACCGCAGCCTAGCTCCCACCCCCATCCTGGACCGTCCCTCCAAGACGCCCCCTCTGGGGTGCAGGCTGGTCCAGCTAGCTGCTAAGTACCCCCCCATTAGGGTTCAGTGCTACAGAGAGATTCATAGTAATTCCTGTGTCCACAAATTGCTTGCGGCTATCATTTGTTTACTCCCACGAACATTTAAGGAATACCAGTTAGGTCACAGGTCCCACCCCCGGCCTGGAGGGGCTCCCTGCCTGGCAACAGGGAAGCAGAGGGAGCCAGGGCTGGGAGGGCTGGTGGGAGGGAACCACTAAGCCTGTCTAGGGGTGTGGGGGAGCGACATGCTGGTGACCTGGAGGTCTGGAGGTCATCAGTGAATGGAAAGCAGGAATACACATGGACAGCAGGTTAGAAATAGCCCAAGGACAGAAGGGCAAGAAAAGATAAAGAAAGCATACTCTGGCTGGGCATGACACAGGCCCATGTCAACTGAACGCCACGACAATCCTTCGAGACAACATCTGCAGTCCCACTGTGCAGACAAGACCCGAGGGGGTCTTAGAGGCCCGAAGCCACAGAGTTCCTAAGTGGTGGAGCAAGATTTGAGCCCAGGCTCGTCGGTGCCAAGGATTTGACACCAGCCCCCCGGGCCGAGCCGCGGGGTCAGGGACACAGTCGAGTGTGGCCTGGCACAGGGCGGGGAGCGCTCACCATGGCACACAGCACAGGAGACATCAGATGCTGAGGACAGGGGTCCGTCAGATTCCTAGCACGAGTCACAGCTTATCCCAGTTTTAGGCCAGGTGGCTGCATGACAGAGAGCAGGGGTGCAGAGAGGCTTGGAGAGGGCTGCAGGGGCACCTGGCCTGCCCTTCGGGCACCTGCTTCTCACCCCAGACCCAAAGGGGCTCCAGCGGGACCCTCCCAAAGCTTGTGGCGTGCCCCCGGAGCGCACGGGGATGGTGCAGTGGCTCGTGTCCATTGCACCTGGTGGTGGCGGTATCACCATTTGTCCCTTGTTCAGGCCAAGGCAGCAGGTCTGCCGTGGAACACGGTGGGCCGGGGCAGAGTGAGCCGGCCGGGGGATCCTCTTAGATTCTGCTCAAGGGCCGCCAAGAGGGGCACACAGCCCAGGGAGGAGGACTGGGGGGAGGGGGGACTCGGATTCCTGGGGCTGAGGAGGGAGGGAGAGCCATGGGAGGCCGGTTGGCACACCCCCGTGACCCACGGAAGTGCCCGAGGGGGTCCACTACAAACCCTGCGAGTGCCCGGGGCACGGGGCCAGCTATCCACAGCCCCTGACCAGCAGGGCTCCTCTGCCCTCTTCCTGCTCTGTCCCTGTCCCTCTCCACGCAGCTGACGCATGGGGAAGGACCACCAGGGAACCTGGGGGGAAGAAGGGAAGAGGGCCCTCACCCCTTATTCTCATACAGGTCCCAGACTCCGCCTCCAGCGTGCATCAAGTTCAGCCTTTTGGCTGTCACTCTGGTTGGCGATATGAAGAAGCAGGACTTGGTTTTGACTGTGAGTGACCATAGGGCAGAGGGGCCGGAAGAGCTCAGGCTGGCTTGGCTTTCCGTCCAGGTGCCGGGGGACGTGTCCCTGAGACCAAAGGCCTAAAGGGCCTCAGGAGCAACACAAAGTTGCTCTTCGGATAATTCTCCAGGAGGCGGGTGAGTCCTCGGCGCGGCCTAGGGCAGGACGGGCACAGGGTGGAAAGTGTCGCCAGGAGCCTGGTTTGTTTTCTGCAGGGAGATGGATTCATTCAATTCGCAGAGCTCCCTGCCTGAGAGGGAGAAGGGCCTGGAGGCGGCCATGTGCTGTGAGTGTGAGGGCAGAGATGGGGCAGGTCAAGGAGGGGATGAGAGTGAGGACGGCTGGGCCTCCCACCTGCCCGAGTACACCACTCTTTCCAGTGCAGGTCGGAGGAGAGAAGAACTGTGAAGGGCAGTTCCAGGGGGAGGATGGGAGAAGTGTGAGCCAGAAGTGGGGCACCCCTGCCTGGAGGGTCAGGTCCGTGGAGGGAGGAGGGCGAGGAGCAGGGCCAGCCCGACATGGGATTGGGAACAAGTTGTAGCATGGTGCCTGAGAGGACACTGCTCCCCAGGGCCCCCAGCCCAGCCCAGCCCTGCCCCAGAGCTTGGTTACTCATAAGGCATCCTCGAGCCCCCTGCCGCCCCCCCCCCCACCTGCCACAAGCACAGAGAGTTCCACCGGACAGCACGGGCGACACCGCTTTGCAGGAGAGAGTGTTTTGAGGGATGGCGTGTCCTCCATCCCTCACTTCTCAGCAGCTCCAAGGACTGCTAAGAAGTCTGGGACCCTGCCAGGAATATCGGGTGTGGGGGGCTGCCTGGGAAAAACCTAGTTTCTTGAGGCATCAGGCCTGGGTTTGGACCCCGGTTCTGCCACCCAAAAGCTGTGCAAACTTGGGCAGGTGGCTTTCTTTCTCTGAAGCTTGGTGTCTCCCCTGAAAAAGAGGAGAGCAACAATGCCAACCTGACAGGGTGGTCATGGGATGAAATGGCGCCGGGAACGTTCTGAGGCAGCCACAGGGCCAGGCTGCCTTTCCCCAGCGACAAGAAAGAGGCAAGGAAGTCAGAGGAGTCCTGAGTCTTTGCTGAGTCTAGAAAGGCAAATGCCAGCCTGAGCCTTCTGCCTAGAAAGTACCAGGCCCACCGGGCAGGGCACACGTGACATGGGGTGGCCTCCACACATGACAGCCTCTCTACCGCCTTGGGCCCTGGCCCGGCCACAGGGGAGTGGGTGACCCCCTGGGCTGCAGACCCCGGGCCTGGTGCACCAGGCTCCCCTGCCAGGTGTCCAGTGTGTGCAGGCATGGAGAACATGCCCCCCCAGCAGCTTCCTCCTGCCCTCCCCCCTTCCTGCTTATCTGTTGCCCTTGTTGGGAAAGATTTTGTCTACTGCCCACTGGCGCCAGATCCTTCCTTTTCCAGTTCTTCTTTTGAATCTGTGGCCACTTGAACTTCAGTCTTGAGAGCTGGTTGGAGGGGCCCCACTCCCACCCTGGCCCAGGGACCCCATGCCAAGTCCCTGGGGGGAGGGATTCACAATCAAAGAACTTGCCCAGATGTAGGAAGGATGCCCACCCTATCTGCCCCCCCCGCACCCCCTACACAAAGCACCCCGCATCCACCTGACAGCTCCAGAATCCGGGCTCCTCTCCCTGCGCCCCCACCCCGCCAGAGAACTGCCTGGCTCCGCTGCTTCCCAAGGAAACCACAAACCATCTTGCTGACCCTGCTGGGGTGCCCCAGCAGAGGGGACCCAGGAAGGAGGCTGAAATCACTTTACATGGTGAGGACAAGCAGTTTAAAAACATAGAACCATGGAGCATTTTGTGGGTAATAAGGGTGCTTTTTGTGACCTGGTTTCAGGTATAGTCATACAGCTGGGTTCAGACAGGGTCGTGCTGTAACGCGCATTCCTTAACTTTGGGTCACCTTTGGGGCGCCTGGGTGGCTCAGTTGGTTAAGCGACTGCCTTCGGCTCAGGTCATGATCCTGGAGTCCCTGGATCGAGTCCCGCATCGGGCT